ACACACACACACACACACACACACAGCACACACACACATACACACACAACACCACACACACATCACATATATATATATATATATTATATATATAATATATTATAAATATAATTTTATATATATCGTACTGACCACGCATTACTTAAAGCACGTTATCACAGAGAAAAGGCGAAAAATCAGATAATCATTAGAGGGGCGTAGTTCGTTTCTAGGAAACACGCCCACACAGAAACACACCATGTATGGACAGAAGGATTTCAGAGATAGATGTATGCAGATATACATATATAATTTGTGTGCGTGTGTTAATGCGAATGCTATATGGAAAAAAAATCACTCAAATACACATCATATTTGTAAGTTCACGCTTTATTTTCAAGAAAGACCAACGCACATATATATACATATATACACACATACATACATACACACAAACATATACACAAGCCATATGTATATGTACATATAATGTATGTATATTTATTATTTATCTATATAATATATATATAATATACTATATATATATATATATATATAATATATATATATATATATATATAGAGAGAGAGAGAGGAGAAGAGAGAGAGAGAGAGAGAGAGAGAGAGAGAAAGATAGATGAAGATAGACAATATTATTTGGTGTTTGTTGTATGTGTACGTAAGTGTATGTGTGTATGCGCGCGTTTCTCACACGCATTAGATATTTCCACATAAACTATATAATTATTTATGTTATAGTCCATGTTTGTATGTATATATTTACGGATTTTTCTTTGTAATATACAGACCGAACTCTTTCTAGAATGGTCATATTGGAGTACTTTAATTCAGTATTCACAAAAGAACTGCGTCCATGATTTATCTACAGATGCCTTCTAGACAACGGAGGCGCTTTGGGTGCAGCCCGATAGCTTGTGTCTGATCCACGCACCGTTAATTAGACATAATTGCATTTTGACACGGCTCTTCTCCAAGCTAAGTAAGATCAAAATAAACCTCTCCATCGATAATGTTGTTATTTTGGAGTTATATGCAGTTTATACATACGTAAAGAGACAGCAACAGGAGACTGTCGGATGCAACAGGCCGAAGACCGCCGTTGCAGGGTGCAGCACACCACATAACGGGAAATTTTGCTTGTGAACCTAGGCAAGAAGGGCTGAGGGTGATAATAAGCAGTAACTAACGTTCTACTCTCAGTGATATGCCATAATCACAAGAGAGCATGTAAGGAAGTAATACAAAAGTAGACAGATCATTTATATTTCTGCTTTGAAGGTGGGGGTAGGTTATGATACTTTATATGAGGTTACAAACAATTATATTTCAACTTTTTTATGTACTTTGCTTCCAAATTGGTTAAAACGTACAAGCTGACTAATTTGCTTTCAGGAAATGAAATGTTCCAGTAACCTTTTTTGATTTTTTGTTCATGTAAACTATTGCATTGCCTTCATTAGTATTTAAATAAGATTTAGTAATTCTTACACACAGATATAAGTATAATAATATAACAGATATACGTATTAATGATGTTTGCATGAATAAAAGTGTTCAAAGAAAGTTAAAATGCTCCTTGTAGATAAATCAATCAAACCTACAATACACATTGTTCAACCGTCAGCAAAATCATGCATAGCTAGGAGTCGCTGGTCTTTGGTAGGCAGGGCCAGTAGGGGCTTGTCCGTAGGATAACGGGGCGGGGGCCGGCTGGCTAAGGGAGCGAGCAGAGGGGCAAGGTTGTGAGCAGGTAAATCTGGCCTCTCCCTCGTGAATGGCCTAACTTCAGCCCACGTACTACCGGAGCGTCGCACCGTTCACCGGTGTAGCAAATCCCTCCTGCAGCAACGAGAGTTCCGGAAGGAGAGACCGTAGGTAAAGCGCCCTGAAGTATCGGGGTAGCCATGTGCGCGGATTTCTTGGTATTCCCTAAGTGGGGCGATTCCAGGAATAGGTCGTCTTTGGTGGTAAAAATATTTTCTTTGATTATATATGATATAGATATATATATAATGTTATAAAATATCACCTATATACTACTATAAAGTATCAGTATAACTAGTATATCACAAGCCACACACACCAATGCCCCGAGGCCGTCGAACACGACACACACACACAGCAAGCACACCACCACAGCACACCACGACGACCCACACAGCAAAGGGCAGGGGGGGGGCACAACGAAGGGAGGGACGGAGGAGGAGGGCCCCCGTGGGCCGGGCATAACACCGGAGTAAGAAACCAGCAAGCACCAAAGGAAATTATGAAATAATATATTTAATTAAGTCAATTATTGTATAGATTAATGTAGCTTTACAGATTGACATATACATGACATCAATTATAAACAACTATGTATATTGTTATGTTTGTGTACTGCCTGCGATCCACAGGTGCGTGCACGCAGAAATGCGAAAAATTGGAAAGCCCTGAATGAAGTCATACGTGCTGTCTGCATGCATGTATGTATATTTATTACACGTAAAACCATTCACAAAGTATAATATAACGGACTAAATACCATCGACTATGCAATATGTATTCAGCATATATTCGCATATGTAGATTTTATTAAGCGCATTCATACTATAATAATACTAATATATATATAAATATAATAATATAGTATATATATATATAATTGCCATACTGTAAATCACATTATGTAAAATAGATAATAACCCATACATACATTATATAATAATAATTAATGTATACACAGGACAATGACAACTCTTATTCCAAACCCTGTATTTACATTATTTTATCATCTCCCTAAAGATCATCATTGCTACACAACTTAACATCATCGAATACATATATTCATTGAAGGAGGTATGATACATCAAAATAAATACTTATTAAGGAACAGGAGGTAGAAAGGCACGAGCACTGTAAACGACGGACTAGTGGGCTGGCGTACAGGGGGTTGTGTATGGAACTGGTGCTTCCTAAGGCCCAAGACCAGGCTAGTATGATTGAAAGCAAAAGGCTCTTGGGAAGCTAAAATGACATATTTAGTTGTACTGTGATAATTCTTCTAACATTTCAGTAATGTACATACGGTATAGATACTAAATAAATGAAAATATATATATATATATATATATCATTATAATATATATATTATAATATATATATAGATAATAATGTATTATGCAATAATATATATATATATATTATATATATATATATATAATATATACAAAATATCTATCTATCTATCAAATATATATATATGCATATAATATAAATAATACTAATAATATATAATATATATACTATATAATATATCTATATTTCTATCATGTTCTTTTTTTTACCATACACACACACACCACACACACAGCACCACACCAACACCACACAACACAACACACACAACACACACATATACTATATACTATATTATAATATATAGGCGCGCGCGAGGGTGAGTATATACCACTATCCATCATACTCATATCACTATATAACTACTATCAGTATATGCTAGACATTGTAACTTGGACGTTACGATGTGAATATTAATGACAAAATATATGTATATATAACAAAAATATACAATAAAGAGAACAATATATATATACATAAGATATATATATAATATATATATATATATAATATACTACGGTAATATAATATATTATATATGTCAGATATGTGTATGTTGGTTGTGTGTGGGGCGGTGGTTGTGTGACTTTGTAAATATACGTATTGGAGTATAATAGTATAAAGAATATAAGCTGTAAGATATTCAACTATACTTGCTGACTGTGTATACATAGTGTATGGATATTGCCCATATATACACATCCATTATATATATATGATATATATATACTATATAGTATTATATATATATTATATTATATATTACATATATACATACATATATAAACATATATAACACACCTTGAGTTTCATGTCAGCGGTTACAAGAAAAGTCCGAAGGCAGTGAGCAGGTTTGGCTCTATCATCGTTTTATAAATGGGTGTCGGCCGAGAAAATAGCCTCTTGATTGCTTCGGGGTATTAGCAATAACCACAATAGGACTCTGTAGATACCACAAAAGAATCGGCCTATTCCGAGTGTCGTTATCACAGAGAAAGGGAGGCAAGAATGATGTCATCTGTAGAAGACGTAGGTCATTTCTTAAATAAGAAATACAGATACACACAAGGAGAATAATCATAAATTGATATATTTAAAGTATTCACTTTTCGATTTTCTTACACGTAAGTTTACTAACTTACTCAAAAGCATTTGCTTATCTAAAGTGATCTTAAGTATACTTGAATATCGAACCTATCGAACTTACAGATAGACGGCCATTGTTTATGCAACTTAACCTCGTTCTTTTTTATTATCTATATTATTGATTATTATTATTATTATTGATTGTGAAACCGGACCCCAATCCCTCTTTCTCACTCCTTAAAATTTGACGTCATAAGTATTACGATCGCTGGGATATTACGGTCCTGCTGCTATT